ACTTATGACGAAAGATATAATTTACATGTACCTATTAATTTATATTTTTTTTATTAACTTTTCAATTAAAGAAAATCAATTATCGAATAAACGCGGACTTGTTGTCATGAACCTTGTTAACCAGCCATTTAAAGAGCTGTTAGCTGTGTGATATTTAAGACTCCGTCGCGAATGAGAGTAATCTCATCCATTCTTTCTCCACGATTTCTCCTTTAATCACCGATCGTCAATCCTGAATAGGCATTACAGCACTGCGAAATAAGGAAACGTCGTTTACCTTCCATTTTCGAGCGTAGGCGCCCGATGTAAGGCTATTTTTGGCACATACGCAGCGCTTCGTAGATGCATTTATAAAGATATCCTTGAAGCAAAGGATCAACATTTTCCATCTTCTAGACGCGTGATGACCGCAAGGAGATGCGCGAAAGAAAAAAAATTCTAACCGATGTAAGTTAACATTATTGTCTGATAAATTCGGTTGATACCAACATTACAATGTCCGAAGAATAAGCCAAAAAAAATCAAGTAGAATAAATCGAGAGAAATCGAGAGAATTTTAATCTTGACATAAAAGGTGATTTCTTTGCCTCTTCCTTATACAGTATCTATGTTCGTCCTATCTACCTCTGCGTTTTCGTTAGAGTTTAAGAATATCTAGAATATCTAGAATAATAGGATGTTAAAATGATGTGGATCGAACTTATCAATAGCACAGACTTCTTTAATTCCATCTTATTTAACTCTTTTTTTCGATTTTAGTATAAAGTCAACTTGTTCCACCTCCTAATTTTATGCCTATTTCAATTCACAATAAAAAACTTTTTAATTCCATTTGATTCAGTCAATTCGGAAAATTTTTTATGGTTGTAATATATCAATAATTTCGTCATACCAGCATCCCCTTAAGTGGCGCCTAGTGTTTTCACTTCTGGACATATCTCCTGCCTCTTTCACTATTGCACTTTTTCTCTCTTTCTCTCTTTCATTTTGATCACGGCACAGCACCAATAACCAATCCGATCCTATCAAGGATGCAGTTAATTACACGTCGCGCAACAGCCGAGCCACAAAGTCATCAGGTCTCACTCAAAAAGATCAACAAAAGAGCAGGACCAGACGGGCATCCGCGCGATAGGCTATTCGCATACCTGTCAGTTATTAACCGTTGATGCAAATCACCGTTTTATCCTCGAATTATACAAATCGGGCCGCGTTCTTTGTGCGGACCGATCGACGACCAAGGAAGGAGAACGAAAAGCCGAGTGATTGCACGAAAGGTCATGCTTTGACCTGCTCGGCTGGCCCGCGAGTGATCACCGTTGTTCCCGCATCAAAGAAATATTTCGTATATTTATCTCCCATTCAATCGAATGAATAAATAGTATTTAATGTGATAGCCGATGAAAAATTCGACCCGACGTCGTTAACAGCTTAAGCGCGTGTCATGTTTTTTGCGCGATGCACTTACAAAAATGTTTTTAGTAGCGCCTTCGCCGCGCGTGAGAAATAATTGCGTCGGATCGTTGTGGAACGTCTTCATATTTTTCCGCAAATATTTCTCAACACTTAGGGGCAGACACCGATAATTAATACTTTTATTACCGTAATAATAAATAGTTTTTATATGTCGTAAGAAAGAGAGAGAAATCGCCGTTAATTACGGCGCTCGAACATTACTCTTCCTCGATCGTATAACACAATCCTTACACATTATCCGACCGTGTAGCACTTAGGAAATATTCCTCGCACGCACATGATAACGGAGGACAAGAGAAAGAGGACGATAGCAGAAGAGAGACAGAAAACGGAAGACGAGCAAGAGTATGGGTACGCTGCACAATGTTCGGTAAATCATTGGACGTTTATTACAGTTAATTAGTCGACTGACCGGCCCTGTCAGACTGTTTTGCATGTACCATCAAAGCAGAAGAGCTACACACGTGTGCGTGATGGCGCCATGCAAAAGTTAATATGTGTCTCCATTTCGTACAAGTATGAAGAACGGGACATTATCTTGAACACCGTCAGAATTTCGAGAATTTTATTCAACCCATTCCAGCTACCTACCGACCATTGGATGAGAATTTTAGTAATTGCATCTTCTCCGTTCAGACACAAAATTCTTCGTGATCGGTTAAGATAAGAAGCAGAATTGTTATAGGGCGCTATTGACATTCTACCGATGACCGTATCCTTTTGTGAATTTTTTATTCTTTAAAAAAATAATTTTACTCTTTACAAAGATATTTTTATAAGATCGAAGATAACATCATTCTTAATCTCATTTCAAATAACCTTTTTTAGAGTAAAAATTAGAAATGCAAGATTTAATTTTAAAGTTTTATTATCATTAAAAATAATAAAATGCATTTTTAATAGTTTTTAAATAATATTAAGCATCAAAAGAATGAAATATTACACGTTTTATTTTGTTATGTTTAATATCATATTTTATACTTTGTTTAATATTTTAATTAATTTTAGTTTTATTTAATATTATGTTATATATATATATTTTATTTTATTATCGCGGACAATGTATATTTTTAACTAAAGCATAACGAAGATTGGAAATAATTTCTTCATAGTTTGAGGAACTGCATCTGCACAATATTATTACGCGTGAAAGTTGTATCATCACTCAATGGAAAATAATTAAAGCAGAAATAAATTATATAAAGTCATAACTAATAAACTCATTACTTGTTTCAATATAAACTAAGGTATTCTGAATGGTGTAACATGATTCGCTATATAGCTGACGCTTTACAGCTCTAAATTAGTGGACGAAAACATTTAGAGAAAGAGGAAAAAAAAAGAGAAAAGAAAAAAAAAGAGCGATAAATTTCCGACACGATATTCGCCCCTGGTTTCTTGACGGCATGGAATGCCGAGAACCAGAAAAACGGTACACGCTGGACTCTGCTTCCTTGTTAAGGTAATATGATTTGTAGACGAATGATTAACCAGCCGTCACCTGCGCTATGCGAATCGCGCGCTGATCAATCGCCAATCGCCGTGAAGAGATAATAAATGTGAAATACGATTGGCATTAAGCGAGAGGCATTAATGCACTAGAAAAGATTCACGTGTGCCTGATATTAAATCGAAATGGATTGTTCGTGATGCCTATTATTATTCAAGGAGCTATTTCATGTCAGACTAACATTTTTTTGTAATGTAAATAAATAATTTCCCTAAATTTTAATCGGTTCAAAGTATATTGTAATACAAGCAATTTTAAAATTACTTAAGTATGGTTGTAAAATTTGTAATTTTCAGAAAAATATTTTCAACAAATTGACATTTTTGGTATTGTAAATAAGATCACTCGCATACTTACTTCTTAATTATATCCATAGTCGGTATTTTTCTTCCTGGTATAGCAATCTTCTCGTATTTAACGCCAGCATTTGTAAATTCCTACAACAGAATCGTTAACAAAAACATAAACAATTACATGCATATTGTTGCGTAATAAAAGAATATTCTCCGTCGCATGAAACGCAGATGCATTAATAGAACACGTACTGAATTGAACACGCGTATAATTTGATCGAAGCTATTGTCCTGTTAAACCATTCCGGCGCACTCATTAGCATCACTAATTATCACGCATAAAACCGTCAATTACAAACAATGCGGATAATCATAGTTTCTGAGTACAAGCGTGTCATTCAAGCAATGATGTAAACTGAACGTTCGGAAATCGAAACAATCGATCGTTAAATACGAAATTTTACAAGGGCGGAAAGAAAAATACGACTCTGTAGACTAATCGAGTAAAAGAGAGATTCACAATCATTTGTATTTCAGAAAGTATTCTTTAGTATACACGCGTATTTGTCTAGAAGCAACAACAAGTCTTGCACGTTCTCTCTATTATCTCTCAATTATCTCTTATAATTGATTTCAAATCTCAAAAGCACTAACAAATTAAAATAAAAAATAAATTACTAATATAAAAATAAATCATTGCAAAAAAATATAAATAATATTTATATAAATTTAACAAAAATCAATTGTCAGTAAAAAAATTAATTTTAAAAAATGTAATAATATTTTGTGCTACGTTAACATTGATTGTCTTTAACTATTAAAAACGTCGCTTAACGATAACAATAGTAATACAAACGTAACTGTAACCTGAGTGATGTCAGATAACAGTTACCACTCGTTTTTCTATTCTGATGACAGATCACGTCATAATAATCAATCTTTTTGACTTTGCTTTTAGCGAGATATTAGAAACTCAATCTTAGTGATCGTGCACTATTGCGCTTAATGGCTATATCGAACCTATTTTCTTTTCTCCAGCCGTCAATAATGCGTAAGAAATTCTTTTGTTCAAGAATATCTCCGATTCTCAAACTCAACAAAAAAATTAAATCATAATAAATCAGAAAGAAAAATAAGAAATTTAGTAATAAAAAAAATGTAAATTCTCTGCTCCAATGAACAAGATTTTCTTTCTAATGGAGCTTATCATATTTCTGAGATTTTCGAAAGATGAAAGTAGCAAAATTAGCATGTATCATATATATGAATTGGAAGGATTTCGTATATATGTAAACATACACAAAACTGAGAAAATATTGGGTTGTCCGGAAAGTTCGTGCCGATATTGAAGGAAAATTGAAACGTAGAAAATTTAAATTTTAGTATACATTTATTAAATTATATAAGTTAGTCGGCACGAACTTTCCGGACAACTCAATAAAAGACACATTTTGATAAAATCTTCACGAACTGGTATGCGAGATCCTTTATCTTTACAATCTTGTTTTTCCCATAACATCGGACAGGAAAATTAAAGGACCGACTAAGCGCTTCATTATATATGTATAATGCGCTCTAATTAGACGTGGGCGACACTGAGAGATCTCTGTTAATTATCATTGCCCCGTAACGCTATTGATGTTCACAGCGGCGTGTATAATGTTTTTAAAACATATCTCCTAGGATTTTTCACTCTCATCGCGTGGCAAATGGTTGTCCAAACGTCGGTAGGGCCGAGACAAAAAGCAGAAGATGAAGCGACCGAACCAACTCTACGACTTATTAATATAATTGATCGGTCTTCGGTCCTTTTCTCTGACAGCTTTGACCTAGAAAACATCGCGGACATATCCCCATTTGACATAACGACTCGGATAGTCAGTTAGCCGATCGAGTCGTGGCAGCCGGCTATTCCAAAAATCTAATAATAAGTTCATTAGCGCAGTCTCTCTTCCCTCGCTACAAATTAGTCAGACCGCTCTCGAGTGTTCTCAAGTTGACCCCGATGCGATATTAGGATGTCAAAGCGAAAGCGAGTGAAGAAGAGATGAAACCGAGAAAGATAGACAAACAGCGATAGATAGTTGAATCATCAAGTTTGAGAAAAAAAAGAGAGAATCTGTATATCTGCTTGATCAAAGAATGCAGTAGATGAGAGACAGCTTGTGAGAAAGTGAGAAGACGTCTCTTGTTTCGAATTACTAAAAGGTAAAGGAGCAAGTGTATAAACATAGCAAATTACGACTTGAAATTCGAACGATACGCGATATGTTTCCGCATTAAATTCATGTGAAAACATCAGTATTATTTCATCAGACAATACTGCCTGCATATCAGCCCCTTTTTAATCGCGTGGAATGATCTCAAATTTATTTTTTACGTTCTGTATTAAGTTTACAATATTTATTTCAAAATTATCAATATATATATTAATTATCGAGTATATAAGGTGATTATTATTATTCACAAATCGGTGAAAATCGGTCGTTTGGTTCCGCTAAATTTAAGTTTCAGTTGTGTATCTCTTACCTTTTTGTCGTAGTAACGACACGTATTGGTCAAGTCGATGATATACTTGAGATGAGGAAACGTTTCTAGCAATATTGCCGTAGTAAATCTGCAACAACAGATATGACTGGATTATAATGTGCACGTTGAGTGGCGTTTCAATTTATTGATCGACCGTAAAATCTCTGCGCTACTTAAATCATAAAACGATGTCTTTCTTGGCTTATAGACATAGAAAAGATAGGAGAACCTATAGTCAGTTAAGACGGCGTATGGCGAAAGATTCTTTTCGAGGGGCGCGATCTGTATGACTGAATGATATATTAAGGAAAGCAAGGAATCTCTGAAGTTCCAAACGAAAGGGATTGGATTAAGCGGGGGTGTCAGCCCAAATAGTTTCACCATCCCTTTCGATATATCAAAACCTTTTGAGAGACGTACCAGGTGCATGCATGCATGCGTGCGTGCGTGCGTGCGTGCGTAGATACAGAAACGACCTTTGCTTCGAACGATTCCTCATAAATAAACAACCCTCACTCGTGTCTGCGCCGAGATGTTATTAAAAAAAAAAAACCTTGTGAAATTTATTAGGATACTGGTCGATTTAAAAGCAATTAGCGGCGAGCTAATGTGACCCGGTAGATTTATGTAACTGACCAAGTGAGAAGTATCACGTCTCTTCCGAGTGCACCACTATAATCATTACTATAATTTCCACGAGCATCACGATTTATTGGCAAACGACTAATATTCTTTTTTTTTCGCGTATTAGGTTACCGCGGCGCGACATCACTCCTCCGTCGATCTCGCTAATGCTTCAGTATGCTCATGCATCATCTCCTGTCCACAAGGAGAGAAATTCTGCACCATGCTATAAACGCCATACAGATATCGAGATGAAAAAGAAGCTGTTGGCGACGGTGTTTACACGAGAGGTGTCCAAAAGACGAGTCATCCCGATACTCACCGTTGGGTTGGCTGCAGATTTCTCACTATGGCCTGAAACAAAAAAGAAGACAACATTCATCACCAAGAAAACGTAGCGAGAAATAATTAATAACTCTTAGCTTATAGCGACAGCTGTAAATGCACAGTGCTTCGGAAGAAACTTTAAACGGAGACTCTGAACGACTTCATCTCCGCAATGATTACCATCGCTGCATACCTACGTCTCATGAGACCTATATCCTTATATGATATCGCAAGTCATCTTCCATTTCTGATTAATTAATAGCATAAGCTTAATAGACCGCACGAGACGATCACGTGCCACGATCACGGATCGCATATCGCTAACAAGATTGATTGACTTGAGTCTCACGTTAAATTACGATACGCTATAACATCGGTGATGAACACCAGTGAGAAACTTTAAAGGCATATTCCCGCCACGGAACGATGACTTGATAATTGTAACACCCGCACTTCTCAATAAGGAAAACATCCATATCAAAGACATATAATTTATTGATCCTATATCTTGTTCATACCATCACAATAAATTTTTTTGTAAAATTTTAAAAGACTTTGCAATAATTAGGTACATCATTGAATTTATTCATTATCCAGTACTCATTCTATTCATACTTTTTAATGATATGGAAGAAAAATAAGCTATTAATGTTATATAGAGTGAGAACAAAATCTATTTTGCTGAAGTATCTAAAAATTTATTTAGATACCTCAGATCTGAAAATAATTTTACTGGACCATCGAAATAATTATAGGAAACTTAATTATGCTGTGCAATGCTGCAAAAAATTGTGATATTCTAACAATCAATTTAAACGGATATAAAAAACGGATATCCTATATTTTTTAATGGCCCAACGAAATGACTTTCAGATCTATAGCCAAAATTTTAGATATTTCAAAACTATCCTTTCCATATATAATACAACCAAAAGCGATTTCTTGTACAAAAATAAAATGCAGAATAAATTTTTTCATAAAAGGCTTTGTTTTAAAGCAAATCAAATTTGAAATCGCGTTGAATGAACATGCCCTTAATGAAGACATTTGTGTAAAGATGCTGTAAACATTATTATATTTATATACATAACGTCCACATGACTTCACGAATGGCAAGATTTAAAAAATGTAAAAAATAGTTGAATTTTATTTTATTAAGAGAAAAACTATTTATAGATCTCGAACGAAAAAAAATTATTCTGTACTTTCGATTTATTTTTGTACAAGAAATCATCCCTCGTTCGATTGTACTACAGGTTTATCCTCATTCTGTATTTCTCGGAATGTATAAAAATTTAGTTAATGCAATTTCAAGAAAATAATAATATAGTGTATACTATTTATACACGCTCGTTTAGATCAACAGGCGTAGAATACGGTGCAAAGTAAATTGAAACTTTCGTTAATCGGCTTATACGTCGCACCCGCTATGGGTGGGCTAATGTTAATTATAGGTTTAGACGTAACTATTCGATTGGCTGGGCGGAGAGATCGTATCTACGGATGAGTATGGAATGAGTATCGGTCGCATTAATAACGGAGTAGTGGTATGGCTTTCATATCCGAACGTAATAATCCGACATTGACTAGGCGTGAGATATTTTCTTATCCTGTTTATAACCGCTCCTGTTGTTCGTACGTTTCATCCCAAAATGTAATTTCGCGATTTCATAATCAACAATTCATGAATTGTATATATTAAGCATGTGCTTATATGCATTACAAAATATAAACCATTTACACTCTCTCTCTCTATATATATGAATGCACTTCTTAATATCCTATATTAATATCCTCCGTTGATCATTTTAAAGATATAATCGATTTTTTATTAAATTCTGAAAATAAATTTAAATTTATAAAAAGTAAGTACAATGCAATCCAATTTCTGTGATAAAAATTCATCAATATAACTTTTTATAAATATGTAAGAATTTTTTTAGATTTTTTTAGTCTTAAAGAATATAAAAATTTGTATTAAAGAAAACCCAGAACGAAGTGTGAAAATTTCACATTGTCAAAGATTTAATAATTAAATGTAAATATTCCTGTTTTAATTATATTGAAATAATAAATTTCAATGTAATTTCTTATAATTTTTAAGTAGTAGTTAACATAATTAGAATATAATTTCAGTCTTTAATGTCGCAAATAATGAGTGCTGTCACATTGTGTGTAACATTAGCAACTCAGTAATTGTGAGACAAATTTTTTATTGAAAAAGGAATAAACTAGAAAATTCTGAAAATATTATTTTAGAAAATTCTGATCATGTCAGAATTTTAATTATCTCAACTAGAATTAGATAGACTCAATAGAAAAGTTTTGATTTGTCAATTTTCAACCAGAATTCCAATTAATACAATTAGGTACTTTTTTCAATGTGTATGATTCGTATGTAAGAACATAAAATTAAAAATTCACAACAAACAATGCCACGACGCAATCGCGGCTGGTGAATGCCAGCGTGTACCTCGCTTTGACGAGTCGAAATTCGTGTATTTGCGCTCCAAGTAAGGACAGAAGGCGCGAGGTAAATGCAAGGATTTACGAGCCTTCTTGGGAGAGGACATTCGCGGCACTCCTCAACGAAAAGGAACGCAAACCACGGTGAACGAAAAAGAGTCGAAAGGATGGAAAGAAAACGAGAATGAAAGAGGAAAAGAGAAGGAGGATAGAGGATACAGGTAACTTTGGACCACCTGCGAAATTTACTAACCTCACTCGCGCCAGGAGCAGTTTATTTTTCGCACGATATACTCCATTCCTCGCAGTTGACAGCCGGATCGTTCTCTCCGCTGATTCTACCATTCAATTTCACGATCCTTAGTCTAATATATGGGCCCGTCTAAATCAGGATTATCGGACCGCGCCTGCATTGTGAATCTTCCTGACGGTTCGCACGAGTTTACGCAGCATTCGACGCGCATCAGAAAGTTTCTTGCTATACATACCTTTCAATTTTCACCTTCTAGCATCGCGAAAGTTTGGAAATCATTTGTTTTTATAATTACTTAAAATATATTGATTTCGGAGTTAAAGTAAATAATATTATTCTCCATACACATCTTTACTGTATTTTGTATTATAATAATTAAACCTTTTATACATCGAAGAAAGAATTTAATAGCTATCAAATATTAAATAAAATAATTTCAATCAAATGTTCGATTAATAATCAAAAATAATTTCACTTTTCTAAATATTTAAATAAGTAAAATTATTTTTTGTTACATTAATCAAACATTTAGTTGAAATTATTTCACATTTGATAACTATTACCAAACTCTTTTTTCAGTATAAGAAAAATATTTTTAAAATAATTTTATAATTTCATGTATAAAATATTAATGAACTGAATAGGTAGAATAAAGTTTAACCTTATCAAAAAATAAAACAAATAAATTATGGATCATAAAAGGCATACGATGTATTTCAAATCCAAGTGTGTAAAAAGTAACTTCAATATGTACGTGATTAGTTTCCCATAAAAATTTAACATACTATACGCTGCATACAAATATGGATTTATACATTTAATGTATAGTATATATAACGTATAATGCCATTTTTACACAGAAAATTAAATAATACACATATATTAATATCACTTTTTACTATTAAAGTCACTTGGATTTACGTGTGGGAATCAAAAACGAGGCTTTACATGTACGCACGACAAATTTAACCGGGCGAAAACAACGGAACAGAAAATGTTAAATTATATTTCGCTGCGTGCTAATAATCCCCTGATTCTGTAAAGCGCATGATATATTATATTATTCCTTGTTTAACATTCGATGAATAATAAAGATAAAATGATACGTCAATCATGTGTATCATGCACTTTATGGAAAGCAACCAATAAGTATATTTTAACGATTCAAACAAAGAACAGGCAGATTTATTAAGATAAAAAGAAAAATTACATTTACCAGAAGGCATATCGAAATATTTTTATGTATCAATATATAATATAAGTATATATCGTTATGCGATGGAAAATTTGAGTAGGTCATAAAAATTCGTAAAAATAAGTGTTGATCAAATACGCAACGTGGTACGAAGCCATCGTGAAAAAATGTGATCTTCGCGCGCGACGTAGGCGTTGGTCAACGGTAGGTATCGGTGATATTTATTGGAAATATTTACGAGGGGTGAGCTTCCACGCCTTTGTACCGAGTGGGCCGTAATATTTCCAAGGTCCTTACCTGGTCGACGGTGTAATCTCGGCGAAACTGGCGTGAGAACTCTGGCGCGAACGACGGGTAACCGCAAATTCAGGTGCGATGTATTGATAATAATATAATTGATATTTCAAAACATGAAATAATGTATTGCAAACCGTTAAAAAAACAATTATTCTACAACAAAAATTACACAGTTACAGAATAGATATCTATATACTTTCGCAAAAAATATAGAAAAGAAAAGAATATCTTGATTCTTCTGTATCTAACTTTTAAAGTCATAATTATGAGAAATCAATCAGTAAAAGTAAAAATCTAGATAAGAACTCCATTATATTAAAATTATATTAAAATTATAAAAATCATGTTAATTTCATAAAAATAAATTCGTAGCAGCTGAATACGTTTCATATCTCTTCAAAAGCACAATACATCGTAAATTAGCGAAGCAAAATTAGTCTAATGTAAACTGGAACGGCACAGCAATTCAAAGGACGATGCGAACAATGGCAAGCGAACAGAAGCACTCTCGTAATAGAAATAAGCGAAACGTCGTCAAATTCCACGTGTTACTAGGTTACTGTATACTCCATGAATTGCTCGTAAACTCCTATTTTCCTGAATAAGCACGAACATGAAAAATGAACCAAGCAAAATTACCATTGTCAAGCATTGTCTAAAAAAATCATTCTATTTCACTTAACAATTCAATCAGAAATATCTTTCAAAATTATCTTATCTACAAATAAGTGTCATCCAAAGTTTATTGTGTGTTAATTGCTGAAAATCATAAGAAAACACATTATTTCTATAATGATCAATGAACAATTAAATAAT